AAGTGACAACTCTGAAATCCTGAACTTGACGGTGAATCAATTGTGGAAGTTGCAGGAAGTTAAATTAAACTTTTTATGAGTCTTAATTATCTGATTCCTATCGAACAGAAACGATATAGAATATTCCGCAGCCGTCTATACTACACTTGCTCTTTAATCTCAAACCCATTTCCTCTATCTGTTCAATTCCGTGTATCTGTAATACTCGCAACATAGTAATGAATTAGATTAGGGAAGAATTAACGATACAACGATCGAGAACATAAAACTTCCAATACGTTGCTCCTGCGTTGCCATGTACGAATCGTTTACCACTTTGATAAATCACAGACAATTTGGTGTACTTCAACCTAGTTTGAATAATCGCTGCAGAATTAGCATTCACTATCTGAGACCTAGGACCGAAAAAGAATTGATAACCTAAACAACGTCAGAAGTCGATCTTTCTCCAATCAAGAGGATCGTAGGGATGTGGCCTAGTAGACCAAGTTCTACGCACGATCACTCTTTTTTCTTGTCATTCTCGTAAGGTTTCTCAGCATCAGTTTGAGTTGCCATTAGGTGGGGTAATGCTAATGCAGGGTATCGCAAGACTCGGTGTTTGAGACGTAAATTACAAATGCGGAAATGAACTGGATGTGAGACAGAATATCGACTCAAGCTGGTAGCAATAGTTAAGTGGTGGTTGGGCTTTTTAAACGGATTCAATCAGAGCTTGTTAAATAAACTATCTGTAACTACATATTTGGCATACACTTGTCTAGTAATATGTTGCTATTAAGGCATCGTGAGATGTGTGATGTATAAATTATACTTTAAAATATTTAACACAGAGCAATTAGTGCCTAAAATATTTGAAAAAAAGGAACTGTTTACCGACTGTATTGATTTAGAACAAGCGTAATTTGATATAAAATATATCACTCGCTCCGATTAAATATTGTTCACGTCTTATTTTTTACATTGTGAAACCTTATTTCATTATAGACGGTTTAGAATAAAATTATAATAGGCTCGTCTATTAACTCTCATAGCCAGGTGTAATAGAGCGTTTCAGTTGGCGGATTATAAATTTTAAGAGGCTAATCCATCCATGTCATTCCCATAAGTTACAAACTGATTGGGAGAGCTACAAATACAGAGATATTGGTGCCCCTTAATGGCATCGGATTTTAAATAGTATCCTTGATGGGGATCATATATGGATTAAGCTCCTATTACTTACCTAACGAAGGATTCGTTTCTGTTCAAAGCTTTTAGCGCTTTTGATAACATCTCACCACCATTTGTCACATTACAACAAGCCAATCGTATTGGAGGCATATTCGCTAAGATATCCCAAACCTCTCAATGTCCAAGGCTGAGTATCCCCATTCATTCGACTTTCTATAAGGTACGTCGTTGCAAAATACTATCCTATACAGAGGTTGCACTGGTAAGTCACACATCTCCCATGAAGAAGTTCACCTGGAAGCTGTGAACGACCTTGCCTCTGCCATTGAGGGGCTCGGACAAAATAGTGAACATAGGTTATGAATTAGACGTGGTGTCGAAGTGAATCAAACACCGAAGTTGAGCACACCTGAAAAACGTCCAGTGTTTAGACACGTGTTCGGACACTGACACGCGTCAGACAACGCGGATGAGCACGAGTAGGGTCCGACACGCCGGATGAGCACGTGGAATCTCCCGACATCTTTGCATCTAAGTATTGTGTGTCCCCATCATTTATTTATTGTTGATCATTTTTTTGAGGTTTTATTAACGGCCATACCGAGAACACTGCTGTTTATCTGGACAACGTTTGTTATACGAATAAACGGTTTTCCGTTGGACCACGTTTCCGTGATTTTTCTTCTTCAAGAGCCGCGAGAATTAATGGACCGAAGAAGAAAGAGGTAATCCTCTCAAAAATAAAATAGCAAAAAAAATATATATGTGAGGTCAATTATGTTGAATGGAAGAGAATGGAAAAACCGAAATGGACCAAAGAAATCTTGCCGAACATACCCCATCTCACCTTACTGGAGGTACGATTGAGAGAAGAAGAAACAAGACATGGAGAAAAGAGGAAGTGAGAATTAAAGAGAAGCCTAGGAGGGACTGGTGCGAAGTAATGTCCCCTCAAGATTCAAGTGTGTTGTGTAACAATTTCCGATACTTGATCGTCTCGCTGTACTTGTCGCCTTACATTCGCACACCAGTTCTAACCACTATCTGCGTAAACCTTTAAAATTTATAATTCCCAATCTCAGAGATCAGCCGCTCTCATTTGCCTCTTCGATGCGTCTAATGACATATATCATTGTTCTATCTTCAACCGTTCTTTCAACTTGTACATGATCACACATGTTCGTCGGCTCCTCCATTAAGGTACACGATGTCTCTGTGCTTTCGATCTATACATTTTATCATTTTTTAGTGGTTGTCACGGAACGTTCTATCGACATATTTCTGATACTTGATGTCAGTGCAAGTCGACATATGATTCTCTTGACAAATTCCCGGGAAGAAAGTAAATTTGAGCATTAATCGAGAAGGTTGAAAAAAGAATATATATGTATTAAACCTATAGGGAATGGAGAAAAGCGGTTCATGTTGGAGATTACTTAATAATGTTAAGAGGGAGCTTTAACCGATGGATAAGCTGGTAAGTGGACGTAGAAAGTCACGATAGACGTTGGGGTTGGTCCTTGGAAAGTTTTTGGAGACGTTGTGGAAATTTGCAGAATTCAGGATTTTCATCTGAATTGAAGCGTTGACACATTTCCAATCAGCCCCTAGAGACATTGGATCTATAAGTTTACTTGTATTGTCTCTTTTTAGTTTCTTATGCTGTAAGGTGTGGTAGTGGCGTTGCGGATATCCATCTTGTCCCATTGACTTCTTTCTACCAATTTATTATAATTATTTTATTATGTGGATGCCTATCTTCTTACTGGTTTGGTCATTAGTTTTCCTTTCTCGTCTGTTGAGAAACATGATATATATTCCTAGGACACAGAGATTGACGCGAAGGGTAACTGGTAGAATACTCTATTCGACCTAAAAAGAAAATTTAAAAACATGCGAAATGATGCAAGAGCAAGAGACAAGATGGAACCCCAACACCATGTAATGAAAGCAAAGACATTGTTAGAGCTGAACTAAGCTCATCAGAACCTAGGGTGACTTCCGGCAACATATGTGTCACCTCAAAGGTCATTATAAAGTGAAAGATCATCACGGAAAATTGCAGTGCCTTGTTAGCATATTCAAACATCCGCACTTAGATATTCGCGGATTTCTGCGCCGCATTTTAAATACCATTAACCAACTTTTACTTAGCTTATTCCGGACCAGACTGAACCTCGCTCCCCTATACCGTGTCTTATGAAACTACACCACGTCTACATAGTATATTTTAAACTCTCTATTATGTACATAAATATAATCAAACTGTACAAAATATGTGTCACTTTTTTATGCTCCCACCACGAGTTTGCAGACTATCACCGCTGATCAGAAAGAGCAAGCAATGAAGAATCGGAGAGTTAGGGCGAGTGGGTGTTATCCTACCTTCTACACGGAGGACCCGACGTTAGGTTCAGCGGTGTTGGAGACCTGATAACGCTAATAGAAAAATACCCCCAACGAAGTGAATCACTCAGAAGAGCTAAATCCATCTATGAAATCGACCTGACCCGATATGAGATGCGAAAGAATACATATATTGGAACGTACGTGGAGCACGACGAGAAATCGAGCCGTTGCGCCTCGAAACGGCTATGTACACCTAACCAATGTTGTGCGCCCTGTGGTCCTTGCAAGAGCTTTAGCCTTTAAATTATTTCGACCCACAGGCATATAAGGAATAGCATAGGAACGAGAATGATAACTAGCACAAACAAGCCAGAAAGCTGGGCACAGACAACCACAATTCTCTGAGAACCACCTGTGCGGGATTGCCAGCCTCGTGTATCGCTGCCATCATCGGCTCACGTCGTCGTTCAAATACTTGTATCCCGCCCATACTGAGGATGGTTGCATCTGCACACTATGAAGCTCTAAACGGGTTACGGTGCCCGCGAGAGTGACGATCCACCTCTCCGCGAGCGGCTCCGTATCACATAGGTGTTCGACAAGCGTGCACCTTGTCGACGCGGACATAGCTGAACGTTCAGGCACTGTCGAGAACGAGGACAAGAGTAAATAGGCACCGTACTACGCAATCGCAGGAAAGAGAGTAATCAGCTGGAATGAAGGTTTGTGGTAGGAATGCCCATTTAATTTTAATTTTGTTTTTTTCTCCGCCATATCTTGGATCACATGCTTATGTGTAGTAACTTAATAGACCTTATCGGGACTTGCTTTGACTGTTCGTGGGAGGTATAAAAGGGCTAAAAGCTTTGAAAGAACACGACTTGTTAGGGCTATCCCGATGCCGTTGCAGGTTCCAAAATATCTCCGTAAAGTTATCAAATTAAGAGCATACTCTACCTTGAGCGATTCTCTACTGATGGGAATTTATGTGTAAACTGATTTAAAATAAATAGGATAGATTTTTAGCAATTATCTTCTTGCACGATACTTTGCAATTTTTATAGTCTACTGTTACGATTAGTAACACAGAGCGATTAACCTGAGAAGAGAGCCAAGGAATAAGGGTCGAAGGAAAAAGAAGGGACCGCTTTGGAATTCGTCGTTCGGTCCGTTACGTACTTCGCGTTTCTCGCACTGATCAGCTGGTTCATTTGGTGTGTAGTGGGTTCGGCTTGGTTAAAAGGATCATTACCATCTCGAGTCACCGTGTACTCGTCCTGTTACCCTGCTGTTTTATTAAGATGGTATCACATTGAGACCGTTCTGCGTGGTTCTATGCTGAATACTTACGATTTGCATGATTGTTAACTACATAGCATGTACTCAGTTGGAGTTCTAGTCCACAGTACACCCTGTTGTAATTTGAGCCGTTTTTGTACTCTTTTTATTCTCGTAGCTATTAAGTGTGTCGTTTGCAGATCTATAAGCCAGAAGTCGTTGATAATAGCTACTTGTATCATATTGTGCTTATGGATATACTACATATAGGTTTACGTCTGATTATTTACATGGTCGAAAGCGCACGGTGATTCAGAATGAATTGAACGAAGGAAGCGGATAATATTGTATAACCAACTTATTAATAAGTTAATTTTACAAATCGGGAAAGAGCGAGCGATAACAGGTATAGAATTGGGTGTGACTAAGATGTAGCAAACGGACACTCCAATTCCACGATTTTCACTAAGATATGATGTGAACAATTATTAAGGACAACAAACATGCACCGTAGTACTACTTGTTCTTTCAGTTATTCCAATTAGGAATTCACTCAAGGGGCAATGTTTTTATTTGCAATTAATTGTCACTTAATTTCAGGTGGTGATAATCGGATTGATCCGTTAGCCGTAGCAATTCACGACCCACACTATGTCGGTGAAACTGAAAGGTAGAATTGCAACGAAGGCGTACCATCTTTGTCGTGTTGCTTCTTTCCAGTTAATCTCTATTATGTGGATCTTTTCTTCCCTTCGTCTGTTCATCTTCCTTTTCTTGGACACAATCATGGTACTGTACAAGCGTGATTAGCAACATATGGGCAAAAATACGAAATTAATGATTAAGGCGTAAGTGAATAGACCATATTTTGTTAAAGAGGGGGGGGAGCATTTTTTTGTATTATTTCTTTTGACCGACCGAAAAAACCGACCGCCGAAAAGAGAACCGAACTGGAAAATCATAATGCCGACAGATAAAAAGTAAATTTGGAAAGATCGTCACAAGGAAGGATGGAGGGCTCAGCTGCATAGTAATATAACCCTCCATCTTTTACAAGCTCTCTAGAACGTTCGAGGGACCAACGACCACCGCTGCATGACATCGAGTGACGAAGTCACTTGGACGTATCAGACGGTCATCGTTTGTTTTTGTCTCTGGGTTGTCGTCCCGCTCATTAAGTCCTGGTGAAGGGTACTTTGAGAGCTGAAGATGAAGATCATGACTCTGACTCAAGCCTTCATGACTTCGATATGCTGCATCGTCTGTTCAGTTCTTCTTCCCGCCGGTCAAAGATCTTACATTCTTATCCTTACTTGTGCTCGGTCATAGCGTCTACTAAATTTTACATTCGATTATTACATTGAGAGTGTTAAAAATTATATAGTATTAACTACGGAAATGAAGCGAGTTCAGTTGAGGAATTATAAATTTTTAGGTTTACGCAGATAGTGGTATAGACGGTTGTGAATTGCTACGATCAATTCGATTTTCACTGAATTGAGTGACATTTTTGCACAGGCCCTAGTTCTTATTGTTCTTTCAGTTTCTTCATCAGGTTGTGGGTTCTTCTTGTCTTGCTTCTTTCCGGTTTTAAATTTATTAAGTGATCTCTTCTTCGTTCATTATCTTCGTCTTCGAGGAAAATCAGTACTGTTAGACTGCACAATGCAAAGGACTAACAATTGGCTCATGTCACGACCATAAATGCAGCATATAAAAAAGATCCAAACGGCTCAATTCACAGTGTCTGCAATCCAAATCGGTGTTTAGTCTTCAACTTCATTGACCACCACGTCCAATATTATTAATTAAACCTATGTTCACTATTTTTACCCATCAATCACAGCTCAGTAGAACCCGAGTGCTTACTCTTCCTTATTGGCTCTTAGAACCTTGATACTTACAAAAAATCCTCATATCGTTAAGAGCTTAATCCATATATGATTCCCATCAGTATAAACTGTGGAGGAGCCTAAATACAGATATTGGTGCAACGGCATCGGGATTACTAAAAGTCGTGTTCTTCAAAGCTTTTAGCCTTTTATACTCCACCCACCAAGCAACATTACAAACCAAGCCAAAGCGGCAAGCATTCCTTAACCAACCTTCATTCCAGCTGAAGTATCTCCCATTCATACGCTTCTATTCGTCGTTCAAATACTATCCCATACAAAGGTGCACTGCACACTATGAAGCACGACCACCCTCCGAGGGCTCCGTACCAGTGTTTAGACACGTGTCGGACACAGACGGTCGTCAGGCACGCAGGGAGCACGTGTCTGATTCGTCGTTATCTTCCCTAATCTATTCGGATTAGAACAGGAACAGAAGAGAAAGGGTGAGAAAGAGAGGGACCGGCTCGATTCGTCGTTCGTCGTTCGTCTTCGCTTTCGTCGGTCGTCGTTCCTCGTTGGTCATCACTCGTCACTCGTGCTTCTCGTCGTCCCTCGTTAAGGTACACGCTGCCCTACTTCGATCTTCATTCCTTTTCTTGTCTCATCGTCACTATTTTTACATGGAATTCATTAGAGGTTAAAAAATATATATGTATTAACTATAGCGGAAGGAGCGGTTCAGTTGGCCGATATAAATTTATGTTTACGCGGATAGCGGATTAACGGTGTGAATTGCTTACAGGATCAATTCGATTTTCACTAAATTGAAGTGACAATTTGGCACAGCCCTAGTTCTTATTGTTCTTTCAGTTTCTTCATCTGGTGTGGGTTCCATCTTGTCTTGCTTCTTTCCAGTTTTTAATTTTCTTTATGTGGATATTTTCTTCGCTCATCTTCCTTTGTCTGAAAATCTCATGGTAACTGTGAATCTAGGCAACATATGCAAAGATTAATAGATTGCTATTTCACGACCACTATGCAGCATAAAATAGATCCAAATGTTTGATAGTAACTTCCATTCTTCAGCTCTCAACTTAGGACCACCACCATTCGATCGTATCGTCACTCGTAATTTCACTCGTGTTTCTCGTCGTCCTCAAATAAGTACACGCAGCTGCTTTCTTCGATCTTCATTCTTCTTCCGGTTCATACGTCATTTTCTTTTAGTCTCTGTCGTCACTAATTTTTAATTGATATTACATTGTAGCGTTTAAAAATATATATGTATTAACTATTAGCGGGATATGAAGCGGTTTGTGGGATTAATTATAAATTATTTGTTTATCGCAGATATTTGGTATAGAACGGCCTACTGCTGAATTGCTATTTACGATCCAATTGCGAAATTTCACGAATTGAGTGACATTTTGCCACACCCTAGTTCTTATTGTTCTTTCAGTTTTTTCAGGTTGTGGGTTCCATCTGTGTCTGCTTTTTCCAGTTTAATTTATTTAAGTGGATCTTCTTCTTCGTCTTATCTTCGTCTTCGAGAAAATCACGGTAATTGTAGAACCTTAGCAACCATATTGCAAGATGAACAGATTTTTGGCTATGCTCACGACCACTAATGCACCATTTAAAAAAGATCCAAACGGCTTAATTCACAGTGTCTGCAATCCAAACTTGTCGTGTTTTAGCTCTCAACTTTGACCACCACGGTCTATATATTAATATTAACCTATGTTCACTATTTTTCCCATCCAATCACAGCTCAGTGAACCCGATGTGCTTACCTCTTCCTCTATTGGCTCTGGAACCTTTGATACTTTACAAAATCCTTCCATATCGTAAATAGCTAATCCTATATGATTCCCATCAGTATAAACTGTGGAGAGATCCTAAATACGATTTGGGTGCAACGGCATCGGGATAACCTAACAAGTCGTGTTCTTTCAAAGCTTTTAGCCTTTTATACTCCACCCACCAAGCAACATTACAACAACCAAAGCGGCAAGCATTCCTAAACCGACCTTCATTCCAGCTGAGTATCTCCCATTTCATACGCTCTTTTGTCGTTCAAATACTATCCATACAAAGGTTGCACTGCACACTTATGAAGCAACGACCACCTCTACCGAGGGCTCGTTGTACACAGTGTAGACACGTGTCGGACACAGACGCTCGTCAGTCACGCAGGGAGCACGTGTCTGATTCGCGTTATCTTCCCTAATCTACTTCGATTAGAACAGAAACAGAAGAGAAAGGGTGAGAAAGGAGAGGACCGGCTGCGATTCATCGGTTCGTCGTTCGTCTTCGCTTTTCGTTCGGTCGTCGTTCCTCGTTGATCATCACTCGTCACTCGTTGTCTCTCGTCCCTCAGTTAAGGTACACGCTGCCCTTCTTCGATCTTCATTCTTTTCTTGTCTCATCGTCACTATTTTTACATTGATATTTCATTAGAGGTTAAAAAAATATATATGTATTAACTATAGGGAAGCGAGCGGTTCAGTTGGCGGATTATTTAAATTTATGTTTTACCGCGGATAGTGGTTAGAACGGTGTGAATTGCTACGGATCAATTCGATTTCACTAAATTGAGTGACAATTTGCACAGCCCTAGTTCTTATTGTTCTTTCAGTTTCTTCATCTGGTGTGGGTTCCATCTGGTCTTGCTTCTTTCCAGTTTTAATTTCTTTATGTGGATCTTCTTCTTCGTCGTCATCTTCCTCTTCTCGAAAATCATGGTAACTGTAGAACCTAGCAACATATGCAAAGATTAATAGATTGGCTATTCTCACGACCACTAATGTAGCATAAAATAGATCCACACGGCTCTGATTCACAGTGTTTGAAATCTAACTTCCATCTTCAGCTCTCAACTTCAGGACCACCACGTCTAATATCATAGTAAACCCTGTGTTCACTATTTTTCCCCATCCAAACACAGCTTCAGTGAGTACGAGTGCGTACCCCTTCCTTATTGACTCTGGAACCTGATACTGAAAAAAAAATCCTCAATACCATAAAGAGCTAATCCGTCCATGATTCCCATTAGTACAAACTGTGGAGAGAGCAAAAATACAGATATTAGTGCAATGGCAGCGGGATTACCTAACTAGTCCTGTTCTTTCAAAGCTTTTAGCATTTTATACTCCACCCACCAAGCAACATTACAACAAGCAAAAGCGGCAAGCATTCCTAAACCAGCCTTCATTCCAGCTGAGTATCTCCCATTCATTCGCTCTATTCGTCATTCAAGTACTATCCTATATAGAGGATGCACTGCACACTATGATGCACGACCACCTCTCCGAGGGTTCCGTACCAGTGTTAGACACGTGTCGAACACGGACACGCGTCAGACACGCGGAGAGCACGTGTCCGACACGCACCAGAGAGTGTCCCATTTTTATTCTTATTTTTTTTTACATCCGGACACGTTCAGGACACGTTATAGAAACTTTCGGGACACGTTCGGGGGTAATTTCAGAAATTACAAAAAAAATTTGGGGTCAATTTGTAAATAAGTAAAAATAGGTCAATATCTGCCCTAATCTACTTCGATTAGAACAGAAACCGTAGAGAAAGAGTGAGAAAGGGAGGGCCGGGCCGATTTTTCGTTCGTCGTTCGTCTTCGCTTCTCGTCGGTTGTCGTTCCTCGTCGATCATCACTCGTCACACGTGTCTCGTCGTCCCTCATTAAGGTATACACTGCTCTTCTTCGATCTTCATTCTTCTTTTTGTTCGATCTTCATTCTTCTTCTTGTCTCGTCGTCTCCTATTTTTACATTGATATTTCATTAGAGGTTAAAAAATATATATGTATTAACTATAGCGGA